ATCCGTTAATATCGAGGGTCTTCAGAGATGACAATAATCCAAGGGAAGGCAAATATAGGCAATATTTACAATCTATTAACTCTAAGGATACCAAATTTGATAACGAATTATCGAATACCCAACTTGGGAATTCTATACCACAATAGCTCCTGATTGAAAGATGCTCCAACTGATTAGAAGGTTGTAGATTCTCAAGCACTTTCTTCTCTTTCATTGGATTATCGGGGATGTGATTCGGATTCCATATTAACTTTAGTCCCACAAGTTGTTTATTTTTCAAATTCGCTTCTAATGCATCCAAAGGATTCTCAATATTTTGCAGTTCATTAATTGATAGCCTTTCATGAAGATTGATTCCACCTAGCTGCTTAATACTGAACTCACTATTTCTACTGACACAATACATATTCAGTACATGAAGATTCTTCACCTGTTCAAAATGCATTGGCATCTTTGTCACTTTTGTATCTTCAAACTCCATGCAACGCAATTTGGTGAGTTTACGCAAACTTGAAGGCAATTCCTTCAAATATGAACAACCATTCAACCTCAATATCAGCAAGTTATAGAGCAAACCTACTGTGTTAGGTAGTTTTGGTATCTTAGTATGAGAAAGGTCCAATGAATGGAGATGTTTAAGATCACCAACAGAATCCGGGACCTCTTTCAGTCTATAATACCCTTTCAAAGATATGACGCGTAAAAACTTCAACTTGGAGAACACTTCACATATCAAAATCTCGAATGGACCACGAAGACCGTGATATTTACAGTAATTTGTAATCTGAACAAATGAACGCAGTCTTTTAGCATCAGTTAAACTCCCAAAACCATCTAAATATCTTATATCATTGTTTGCAAATGAAAAATGACGGGTTTTTTTGGGTATACAGTTTCCTTTATCAAATTTCAACCTGAAACAGAAATCTGCACAAACATATTTTGCCAAATCATTCAGAAGGTCATGCATGACGAATTGCAATTCGGAGCTTGATTGAAGAAAGAAAGACCTCGTTAATAAATCATCGAAATACTGTTCACCAATTTCTTCTACATTCTTGTTCTGTTGAGAATGATGGAGAAAACCTTCACCCATCCACAACAAAATTAATTCCTTTTTGTAAAATTCATAATCTTTTGGAAATAACGCACAATAAGCAAAACACCTCTTGAGGTGAGAAGGAAGGTGCTGATAACTCAATAACAGAGCAGGCATAATTTCAACTTCTTTCGGTAAGTCCCATATGTCGCTTTCCAATACGCTTTTCCAATCTGAAATGGATGACTTTGTGCGGAGAAGACTTCCAATTGTTTTCAAAGCAAGAGGTAATCCTTTGCACTTCTCAACTATCCTTCTACCAATCTCCTTTTTCTCATCATTCATTTCAAGATCATCATCTTTTACAGCTTGTTCTTCAAAAACTTTCCAGCATTCATCTTCTTCTAAATGCTTGAGGCGATGCACTTTAGATCTCATGTTAGAAGCAACTTTCAAAGCACGTGTTGTGACAAGAATTCTACTTCCTGGAGCCCCATAGCTAAGAGGAGTTCGCACAGCTTCCCATTCTTCTCGCCTTTCGCTCCAAACATCATCCAAAACAAGAAGAAATTTCTTTCCTGATACTTTTTCTTTCAATCTTCCATGAACCATTTCTAGGTCTCTGCTATCATCTCTAAATTTTGTGATTGCTTCAAGAATTGTTTTTGTGACTGTCAAAATATCAAAATGATCGGAAACACAAACCCAAGCTCTTATATCAAATTCAGTCTCCATTTTTGGGTCATTGTATACATGTTGGGCGAGTGTGGTCTTACCCAACCCACCCATGCCCACTATGGAAAGTATGGATAGATGGTTATGATTGTCGGTCTCAGAAGTGAGCCAATTAAAGATCATTTCTTTGTCGGCATCTCTGCCATAAATAACACTTTCAACCACCAAAGAAGATGATGGCAATTTCTGTGACACTTTACCACCTGATCTATCACCAGAATAAGTACCCTCTTTCAGACCAAGAGCACCCTTTTGCTTTGCTAGATATTCTAGTTTTCCTAAGACTTCTTTCATTTCTGATTCAATTTTCTTGTTAAACGAATTGAAAGTAGAGTTGAAGAAATTTGATACCTTGTAAGTAAAGGTACGAGGTTCGGATTCAGCTTCCACTTGGGATCTGGTGAGTTCATAATCTATTTCAACCAAGAGATCCTCGGCATCAAACACAGCCTCTTTGACAGAAAAAAGCCACGCTTTAACGTTTGGATCTGTGAACTGCTTCTGTTCTGCATCATGAGCTAGAGCTTTGATGGAGTGCAGCATGATGTTCAAGTTGCCGAGCAGCTTTTCATCAAGTTTTCTTTCACGAAATAAGTCTATGAATTGAGGAGATGCCAGCCTGTCGAATGCAACCTGAAGAAAAGCGGAAAGAAGAGCACCACCAACAAGTTCTGCTGCCATGATAGGAGTTGAATTGGAGTGGATGCTTAATGGAAGTGTGTAATTTGATGAAGACTTGACTTTAAGGATAGCGGAACATCATTTTCTTTGATCGCAAATTTTCTCAGCTTTGTTCCCAATTCTCGTTAGATTAGGATTGGACGGTTTAAACATTTAATAAGTTTTATTCATCATTATAAAATGTGAGCAGTTCGATATTCATTCAACGGTTGTGATGAATGAAAGCATGAAATTCTGAATGGAGAGAAGGTTGTGGACCCCAGTGAAGCAATATTTAAGCTTGTTTAGCACATGTTGTGAAATTTTATTTAGCCAAGATTTGTTTATTAATCTTTATTTGTCTCTTTGTCTATCGTTTTTTCAATTTGGTTTAATAGTAATTTTTATCTCTTTATTTATATTTCTTTTTCAATTGAATATTATTATTTTGAAAGTTTTAAGGTTTGTTTCACTTTTATTTAAAAATAGTCAGGTAACCATTTTTAGTATTATCTAATTGACTGACTCCAGAATGGGACCTAATACCGATTTTGATATTAAATTAGATTATGATAGGGTGAGATTTTGATATGCGATTTTGGAAGAATATGGTAGTGGTCGATAGCTGGCATTTAAGGTTGTCTTGTATTAGTGCACTTCGTTGGTTCTACATTTGTCTCACATTGTTAGTTTAATTTTGCAATTATTTGAATGATGTTGCGGTGATTGTTTCATTGACCAATGGTGTGATTAAAATATCTTTCAAACAAGGTTTTATTTGTTCAAGTAATTAGTTATGTATATTGTGATTTAATGGCATTTTGTAATATTTAATGCTTTGTTTGAGTTGAAGTCACCACCTTACCAAAACATTTTCCAAGAATTATTTAGTGGATAATGATTGAGCTGGCTAATTGAATGTCATCTTACTTCCTGATATTGTTAATTTAGATAAGCGGTATTGATTGTTTGCATGATATTTTGAACATCTTTATTTCAGTCTTGAAAAACCGGTCATGCGCGTTATTTATAAAGATTGATGACATGACAGAAGTAGAAGATGATCTTCTGGGAAATCTCATAATGAAATTAAACATATTGAATAGAGGATTGATAGAATTAGAGTGGGAGTGAGTACTTGGCTTCTTCCAGTATCATGTCTCATTGTATATTATTCTAAATTATGCACTAAAGATCATGCTGGGAAATAGGATGTTGAGTTTCAATTCTACTACAATGGTGCATGTAACATTTTTTCATTGTCATTCATAGTTAAATCTTGGAATTATTACTTTTTAATTTATACTTAAATTATCTTGTTACATATACATGGAAACAATCACTGTGGACCAAGACCGGGCTTCCACGTATAGATTTAATGAATCTCAGACAATTCAATATTGTGGCTTGAGGACAATCAAACTTATTTGTAAACATGGATATATGAGTCGAAAGATCCTTTCATCAAAGGGATAAAGGATGACTTACGCTACAAGAACTATCGGTGTTCACTTTAATCCAATCTATATCCAGAAATTGCCAAATAACTTGTATAGTAGTTGTACCTTTCTCGGGGCTAGTATTGATGTCAAAAAATTTCAAAACCAAAAATCCTTTATATGTTGAACAATGCTATATAGTTATATTTTGAACAGTTCTTAGTTGTGAAACATTATTCTGAAATATGTCATAGTTCTTCAATCTCTAAATCATCCAAGCAGTGTAAATCACTGCTGCTAATCACACAAGTTTTATTAGAGCACTACTTAGGGAGACTTGATAAAATCAACAAGCGGAGTTGAGTTCAAACAAAGCGTATAAGAAAAAATCCCCTGCAGCCAAGACCAAAGGTAAACAACAGTAGTACACTAAAAAAATAGATGGTGAATTGATTCTTCATTTTTTTACATGGAGAACACAGCAAGACACAAAACAGCCTCTCTAAAAAAATTCTGTGTGCTTTTTTTTTTTCCAAAACTTGAGTGTTTGTCAAACACACTATTAAGTTATTGTTCAGCCGAAACTGTCAACAAACTCTGATTTCTCACTTGTTTCTTAATATCTAGTGTTTGAAATTCATTAAAGAAGCTATTCATAAAATTGATGTTTCTTAACACATTCATTGTCCCCTCTTGGTACACAGATATATAATTAAAAGAACCCATTTGTGAAAAGGTTTTCCACAATCCTGCAAACCAAATCTATTTCTTCCAAGGACCCTTTCTAAAGGATGACGATCCAGCCATTACTCCAAACTACAGAGCAATCTTTCCCCAGTCGATGCTATTTGGCATAACGTTTGCATTTCAATGCCTTCGCGATTTTCATAATGTCCTAAATAAAGACATTTGCTTGAAATTCAATTTCAATGCTAAATATTGAAAATATAAATTTCACATTTAATTAGAATATTAGAAAAATAAATCATTGTGGACAGTAGGCACACCTGGTTGAAAAGCTTTTGCTGTTATTGGGCAAATGTTAACTAGAGAGTGAAATACTTACAATAGCCAAGATTGTATTTCAAAAGGTTCAAAGGTAAAGTGGAGAACAAGTACATGATGTGTGATTTCAAACCTCAAGTTCATGTTGAAGTTGGAGAAATCAACAAAATATTACTATTCTTCTCATTCATTCCAAACATCATCCAAAACAAGAAGAAATTTCCTTCCTGACAATTTTTCTTTTACGATACTTCTTGAATTTTGTTATTCTCTCTTTCTGTAACTTCAGAACATTGAGGAAACTACAGTTGAACTGTGAAAGCATTGAGTAGGTGAACACTAAATCTTTAAGATGAGAAATAGATGGATGCATGGTTTTACCATCGTTGATATACATTGATAACACCAATGACCATGTACCAACAAAAGACGCTCTAGAAACCGGAATTGAGCTATTGCAAAATCACTTGCCATTACAGCCTGCAGACAACATTTATTCACAGATATCAGAAATTGGGACCCTGTCATTCAAACTCAATTCATCATTAGCTAATCATACAAAGAATAACATGTACATTCAGAAATGTTAATGAAGTGTTTAGGACTGCTGTGTGGAGTAGTTGTTACTAAACTACCTATAACCTGTTAATTAATGATGGTTACTTGTATGGAAAGGGAGGTCCTTGTATGGAAAGTAATGGCCAAGATAACCTATAAGACTAGATAGTAATGTTACCCCGATAAGAATATTTCCAGCATTCCTCCTCAAGGTAATGAATAGATATTAAATGTCAATCACACCCAACTTGGTTCAGTATTCATAAGAAGTGTTCAATCCAAAGGCTGAATAATAAGATCACTCCACCAATCACCAAATCCAATATAGAAAATTAAAACCAACTTCATCACAATGCTGAATTTTCTGAGTTTAGGCACTATCTACATGGCGGTTTGATTGTCATTAAACATTTTCATTGGGTTTCGCACCTGAACACAGTTTCGTAAAAATAGTCATTTCTAACAACTCTATTCTGTACATAATAACATTACTGATAACTTGTGTTGCATCCATGTTGGTCTGACAGCTCGGTTGATTATGCTCAAGTGAATTTCTCCTTAATTTGAAATAATCCAAATGCAATGACATACCTGCTAAGATTAAGGGCACATTAAGGTAAAAAACTCTTATTTAAGCCCATCATCAAGAAGTTATTATCTCATATAAGATTGTTTGCCATAAATTTGAATATAGAAGTAACTGGAATAAGCTAATAAGAATATCTTCAGACCTGCATCCCTTCAGCACCACTTATACCAACTCCAATATCAGCCTCCTGAAGCATGCCAACATCATTTGCCCCGTCACCAATAGATAATGTTGTCTTCCCCGTTCCCAATTTTACCAACCTTGTAACCTGCATATTTTTTTGGCTGACATGATTATAATATTTTAACAACCCAACCTATGATTATACGAACTACTCAAGGAATGTATATTATTTATATGACAGAAATTCAAACTGCACACCCATAGACTCACACGAGCTTTTTGTTTGGGTGAAGATCGGCAACATATGACAGAAGAACAATTCATGGCAAGCTCAAAGAAGGACCTTTCCAAATTCTTGATAAGAGAATAATCCAAGGAGTTCCCATCTATTATCAAACCAAACCCAGAAGAACTTCCTTTATTTGCATTAGAACTTTCTTTTGCAGAGTTAATTTGTGAGATTCCTTCTCCAATTTGCTTCTTAATGCTTTCAAGAGAAGCCTAAGAAATTTTTGTATCAAAGATCTACAATAGTGACAGAAAATTAAATTCCAAATAAATTCAAAGGCCGTGTACCTTTGCTATAGCCTGCTTGTCCCCTTGTTTTTCCAAGTATAGGATATCTGAGGAATCAAGAGTGATCACTATCTGTTTCATGTCTTTTCTTAGTAAACTGCAAGCATACCTGTACAAAGAAAAGGGTGGAAAATAAATTAAATTTTACACAATCTTCTCATAAAAAAAATCTATAACAAGACTTGCTAATTTACCCTATGTTGACAGCAGTTTCCATCTTGTCTCCAATCAATACCCATAACTTGATAAAAGCCTCTCTCAAAGTCTTTTTTGAAGCAATAAAATGTTTTTCCAAGAAATTAATTCATGTGAGGTTCGTAAATAATCTTGTAAGATCAATAGGTAATCCATTAAAAGTCGTCTCACCATCTCCTTTAAAACTTTGGGCATCTGTTGTTTAGTAACAGAGTGAAATATTTGTAACTAAGAAATTAGAAATTTTCTTGGATGAAGATTGGGGCATCCATAATGTGTGAAAGAGGAGACGTTGCATAGACCCCTGTAGTCAATCTTTTTAAGATTTAGGCAAAATAGGAATCTTAGAGAGGTGAGAGAGCGTGGCAGCAAAACCTCACCGGGAAAAGACTCCACCTCCAACTTTTCAATAGTCAAGCTTTCAAGACATGTGTTGACATCCAAGGTGTCTCTCAGGGAGGCGATAAGTTTTAAACTTGAAAGAGACATGCGTTTTATGTTTGATGGCAAACCTCCTTCTGGGAACTTCTCCACTTTAGGACAATCAATTATCTCCAGTTCAGTAAGAGATGGAAGCAGGATTTGCATGTGCTTTGGCAATAACTTCAAATTCTCCGCTTCTCGAATTGAAATTATTTGTAGCCATGGTGCAGATAATCCTTCACTTGGAAATGATTCAAATTGACTACATTCACTAATTCTTAGTACTTTGAGATGATTATGAGTGTGTCCCTGTGAAACTCTTCTGAGGTTATGGCACCAACTCAATTGAAGTAAATGGAGCTTTGGAAAGCAATCTAGCGGAAAGATGGTGGAAGAGACGCAGTCATTATTAATCTCCATTGCTTCAATACAATCGTAATGGGTCATAGGAATTTCCACAAGTGGGCATAAAATAATACTCCAGAGTTGAAGCGAGGATATGAACATGCTGTTTACGCTAATTACGAGCTTATCACACCTATTAATATCTAGATTCTTTAAATGAAGAAGTTGCTCTGGCAGACTTTTCAGTTTCGGACAATTATGGATAGAAAGATGTTGAAGAAGTGGAAAAGAAGTAGTTTTACATTCCCATTCTTCCCATTCCTTCATGTTGTAGAATTCCAATATTTTCAACGACTTGAATGAAGAAGAGGTGCTCCCACAAAATTCAGCACCAATGCTCACTATTCCATCAAACCCTATAATCTGTAGAATCCTTAGAGATGACAAAAGTCCAAAGGGAGGCAAACATAGGCAATATTTACAGTCAGCCAACCATAAGGACACCAAATTTGATAATGAATTATCGAATACCCAACCTGGGAATTGTGTACCACCATAGTTATAGATTGAAAAATGCTCCAACTGATTAGAAGGTTGTAGATTCTCAAGCACTTTCTTCTCTTTCCTTGGATCATCAGGGATGTGATTCCCATTCCATATTAACTTTAGCTGCACAAGGGGCTTATTTTTCAAATTTGCTTCTAATGCATCCAAAGGATTTGAAATATTTTGCAGCTCATTAATTGATAGCCTTCCATGAAGATTGAGTCCTCCTAGTTGTTTGATACTGATGACCTCATTATTTCTATTAACAAAAAACGTACTCAGTACTTGAAGATTCTTCAACTCTCCAAAATGCATTGGCATCTTTGTCACTTTTGTATGTTCAAATTCCAGACAATGCAACTTGGTGAGCTTATGCAAATTTGAAGGTAATTCCTCCAGAAATGAACAAAAGTTCAACTTCAGTACTAGCAAGTTATAGAGGAAACCTATTGAGTTAGGTAGATTCTGTATACGAGTATATGAAAGGTCTATCGAATGGAGATGTTTAAGATCACCAACAGAATCATGGACCTCACTAAGCTCAGAATATCCATTCAAAGATAAGACACGTAAAAACTTGAACTTGGAGAACAATTCATGCACCAAAATATTGAATTGACAAGGATTGAATTCATAGCCACAGTTATTTGTAATTGAATGAAATGAACGCAGTCTTTCAGCATCTGTTAAACTCCCTAAACCATCAAAATATTCTACGTCATCGAGTGAAAATGAAAAATGACGGGTTGTATTGGGTATACAGCTTCCTTTATCGAATTTTAACCTGAAACAAAAGTCTGCACAAACATATTTTGCCAAATCATTCAGAAGGTCATGCATGACGAATCGCATTTCAAAGCTTGATTCAAGATCGAAGGACCTCGTTAATAGATCGTAGAAACATTGTTCACCAATTTCTTGTACATTCTTGTGTCGCATTTCAAGGCTTGATTGAAGAAAGAAAGACCTCGTTAATAGGTCGTCGAAATATTGTTCACCAATCTCTTCTACATTCTTTATCTGTTTAGAATGATGAAGAAAACCTTCAGCCATCCATAACAAAATTAATTCCTTCTTGTCAAATTCATAATCTTTTGGAAATAATGCACAATAAGCAAAGCACCTCTTCAGATGAGAAGGAAGGTGCTGATAACTCAGTAGTAGAGCAGGGATAATTTCAACTTCTTTTGGTAACTGCCATATGTCGCTTTCCAATACGCTTTTCCAATATGAGCTTGATGACTTTGTTCGGAGAAGACTTCCAATTGTTTTCAAAGCAAGTGGTAATCCTTTGCACTTTTCAACTATCCTTCTACCGATCTCCTTTTTTTCACCATTCAATCGAAGATCATCATCTTTTAGTGCTTGTTTCTCAAAAACTTTCCAGCATTCATCCTCTTCTAATTGCTTTAGGTGATGCACTTCAGATCTCATGTTAGAAGCTACTTTCTCAATACGTGTTGTGACAAGAATTCTACTTCCTGGAGCCCCATAGCTAAGAGGAGTTCGCACAGCTTCCCATTCTTCTTGTCTTTCGTTCCAAACATCATCCAAAACAAGAAGAAATTTCCTTCCTGATATTTTTTCTTTCAATCTCCCATGAACCATTTCTAGGTCTCCGCTATCATCTTTAGATTTAGTGATTGCCTCAAGAATTGTTTTTGTCACTGTCAAAACATCAAAATGATCAGAAATACAAACCCAAGCTTTGATATCAAATTGAGCCTCCTCAATCTTTGGGTCATTGTATACATGTTGGGCGAGTGAGGTCTTACCCAACCCACCCATTCCCACAATGGAAAGTATTGATGGATGGTTATGAGTGTCTGTTTCAGATGTGAGCCATTTATATATCTTTTCTTTGTCTGCATCTCTTCCATAAATATCTCTTTCAACTACCAAAGAAGATGATGGCAATTTCTGTGATACTTTTCCATCTGATCTATCATCATAATAAGTACCCTCTTTCAATCCAAGAGCACCCTTTTGCTTTGCAAGATATTCTAGTTTTTTTAGGACTTCTTTCATCTCTGATTCAATTTTCTTGTTAAACGAATTGAAAGTAGAGTTGAAGAAATTTGATACCTTGTAAGTAAAGGTTTGAGGTTCGGATTGAGCTTCCACTTGGNTGTTTGCCATAAATTTGAATATAGAAGTAACTGGAATAAGCTAATAAGAATATCTTCAGACCTGCATCCCTTCAGCACCACTAATACCAACTCCAATATCAGCCTCCTGAAGCATGCCAACATCATTTGCCCCGTCACCAATAGATAATGTTGTCTTCCCCGTTCCCAATTTTACCAACCTTGTAACCTGCATATTTTTTTGGCTGACATGATTATAATATTTTAACAACCCAACCTATGATTATACGAACTACTCAAGGAATGTATATTATTTATATGACAGAAATTCAAACTGCACACCCATAGACTCACACGAGCTTTTTGTTTGGGTGAAGATCGGCAACATATGACAGAAGAACAATTCATGGCAAGCTCAAAGAAGGACCTTTCCAAATTCTTGATAAGAGAATAATCCAAGGAGTTCCCATCTATTATCAAACCAAACCCAGAAGAACTTCCTTTATTTGCATTAGAACTATCTTTTGCAGAGTTAATTTGTGAGATTCCTTCTCCAATTTGCTTCTTAATGCTTTCAAGAGAAGCCTAAGAAATTTTTGTATCAAAGATCTACAATAGTGACAGAAAATTAAATTCCAAATAAATTCAAAGGCCGTGTACCTTTGCTAGAGCCTGCTTGTCCCCTTGTTTTTCCAAGTATAGGATATCTGAGGAATCAAGAGTGATCACTATCTGTTTCATGTCTTTTCTAAGTAAACTGCAAGCATACCTGTACAAAGAAAAGGGTGGAAAATAAATTAAATTTTACACAATCTTCTCATAAAAAAAATCTATAACAAGACTTGCTAATTTACCCTATGTTGACAGCAGTTTCCATCTTGTCTCCAATCAATACCCATAACTTGATAAAAGCCTCTCTCAAAGTCTTTTTTGAAGCAATAAAATGTTTTTCCAAGAAATTAATTCATGTGAGGTTCGTAAATAATCTTGTAAGATCAATAGGTAATCCATTAAAAGTCGTCTCACCATCTCCTTTAAAACTTTGGGCATCTGTTGTTTAGTAACAGAGTGAAATATTTGTAACTAAGAAATTAGAAATTTTCTTGGATGAAGATTGGGGCATCCATAATGTGTGAAAGAGGAGACGTTGCATAGACCCCTGTAGTCAATCTTTTTAAGATTTAGGCAAAATAGGAATCTTAGAGAGGTGAGAGAGCGTGGCAGCAAAACCTCACCGGGAAAAGACTCCACCTCCAACTTTTCAATAGTCAAGCTTTCAAGACATGTGTTGACATCCAAGGTGTCTCTCAGGGAGGCGATAAGTTTTAAACTTGAAAGAGACATGCGTTTTATGTTTGATGGCAAACCTCCTTCTGGGAACTTCTCCACTTTAGGACAATCAATTATCTCCAGTTCAGTAAGAGATGGAAGCAGGATTTGCATGTGCTTTGGCAATAACTTCAAATTCTCCGCTTCTCGAATTGAAATTATTTGTAGCCATGGTGCAGATAATCCTTCACTTGGAAATGATTCAAATTGACTACATTCACTAATTCTTAGTACTTTGAGATGATTATGAGTGTGTCCCTGTGAAACTCTTCTGAGGTTATGGCACCAACTCAATTGAAGTAAATGGAGCTTTGGAAAGCAATCTAGCGGAAAGATGGTGGAAGAGACGCAGTCATTATTAATCTCCATTGCTTCAATACAATCGTAATGGGTCATAGGAATTTCCACAAGTGGGCATAAAATAATACTCCAGAGTTGAAGCGAGGATATGAACATGCTGTTTACGCTAATTACGAGCTTATCACACCTATTAATATCTAGATTCTTTAAATGAAGAAGTTGCTCTGGCAGACTTTTCAGTTTCGGACAATTATGGATAGAAAGATGTTGAAGAAGTGGAAAAGAAGTAGTTTTACATTCCCATTCTTCCCATTCCTTCATGTTGTAGAATTCCAATATTTTCAACGACTTGAATGAAGAAGAGGTGCTCCCACAAAATTCAGCACCAATGCTCACTATTCCATCAAACCCTATAATCTGTAGAATCCTTAGAGATGACAAAAGTCCAAAGGGAGGCAAACATAGGCAATATTTACAGTCAGCCAACCATAAGGACACCAAATTTGATAATGAATTATCGAATACCCAACCTGGGAATTGTGTACCACCATAGTTATAGATTGAAAAATGCTCCAACTGATTAGAAGGTTGTAGATTCTCAAGCACTTTCTTCTCTTTCCTTGGATCATCAGGGATGTGATTCCCATTCCATATTAACTTTAGCTGCACAAGGGGCTTATTTTTCAAATTTGCTTCTAATGCATCCAAAGGATTTGAAATATTTTGCAGCTCATTAATTGATAGCCTTCCATGAAGATTGAGTCCTCCTAGTTGTTTGATACTGATGACCTCATTATTTCTATTAACAAAAAACGTACTCAGTACTTGAAGATTCTTCAACTCTCCAAAATGCATTGGCATCTTTGTCACTTTTGTATGTTCAAATTCCAGACAATGCAACTTGGTGAGCTTATGCAAATTTGAAGGTAATTCCTCCAGAAATGAACAAAAGTTCAACTTCAGTACTAGCAAGTTATAGAGGAAACCTATTGAGTTAGGTAGATTCTGTATACGAGTATATGAAAGGTCTATCGAATGGAGATGTTTAAGATCACCAACAGAATCATGGACCTCACTAAGCTCAGAATATCCATTCAAAGATAAGACACGTAAAAACTTGAACTTGGAGAACAATTCATGCACCAAAATATTGAATTGACAAGGATTGAATTCATAGCCACAGTTATTTGTAATTGAATGAAATGAACGCAGTCTTTCAGCATCTGTTAAACTCCCTAAACCATCAAAATATTCTACGTCATCGAGTGAAAATGAAAAATGACGGGTTGTATTGGGTATACAGCTTCCTTTATCGAATTTTAACCTGAAACAAAAGTCTGCACAAACATATTTTGCCAAATCATTCAGAAGGTCATGCATGACGAATCGCATTTCAAAGCTTGATTCAAGATCGAAGGACCTCGTTAATAGATCGTAGAAACATTGTTCACCAATTTCTTGTACATTCTTGTGTCGCATTTCAAGGCTTGATTGAAGAAAGAAAGACCTCGTTAATAGGTCGTCGAAATATTGTTCACCAATCTCTTCTACATTCTTTATCTGTTTAGAATGATGAAGAAAACCTTCAGCCATCCATAACAAAATTAATTCCTTCTTGTCAAATTCATAATCTTTTGGAAATAATGCACAATAAGCAAAGCACCTCTTCAGATGAGAAGGAAGGTGCTGATAACTCAGTAGTAGAGCAGGGATAATTTCAACTTCTTTTGGTAACTGCCATATGTCGCTTTCCAATACGCTTTTCCAATATGAGCTTGATGACTTTGTTCGGAGAAGACTTCCAATTGTTTTCAAAGCAAGTGGTAATCCTTTGCACTTTTCAACTATCCTTCTACCGATCTCCTTTTTTTCACCATTCAATCGAAGATCATCATCTTTTAGTGCTTGTTTCTCAAAAACTTTCCAGCATTCATCCTCTTCTAATTGCTTTAGGTGATGCACTTCAGATCTCATGTTAGAAGCTACTTTCTCAATACGTGTTGTGACAAGAATTCTACTTCCTGGAGCCCCATAGCTAAGAGGAGTTCGCACAGCTTCCCATTCTTCTTGTCTTTCGTTCCAAACATCATCCAAAACAAGAAGAAATTTCCTTCCTGATATTTTTTCTTTCAATCTCCCATGAACCATTTCTAGGTCTCCGCTATCATCTTTAGATTTAGTGATTGCCTCAAGAATTGTTTTTGTCACTGTCAAAACATCAAAATGATCAGAAATACAAACCCAAGCTTTGATATCAAATTGAGCCTCCTCAATCTTTGGGTCATTGTATACATGTTGGGCGAGTGAGGTCTTACCCAACCCACCCATTCCCACAATGGAAAGTATTGATGGATGGTTATGAGTGTCGGTTTCAGATGTGAGCCAATTAAAGATCTTTTCTTTGTCTGCATCTCTCCCATAAATAACGCTTTCAACCACCAAAGAAGATGATGGCAATTTCTGTGACACTTTTCCAGCTGATCTATCACCATAATAAGTACCCTCTTTCAAACCAAGAGCACCCTTTTGCTTTGCAAGATATTCTAGTTTTTGTAGGACTTCTTTCATCTCTGATTCAATTTTCTTGTTAAACGAATTGAAAGTAGAGTTGAAGAAATTTGATACCTTGTAAGTAAAGGTTTGAGGTTCGGATTGAGCTTCCACTTGGGATCTGGTGAGTTCATAATCTATTTCACCCAGGAGATCCTCTGCATCAAAGACAGCCTCTTTGACAGAAAAAAGCCATGCTTTAACGTGTGGATCTGTGAACTGCTTCAGTTCTGCATCATGAGCGAGAGCATTGATGGAGTGCAGCATGATGTTCAAGTTGCCGAGCAGCTTCTCATCAAGTTTTCTTCCACGAAAGAAGTCTAGGAATTGAGGAGAAGCCAGCCTGTCGAATGCAACCTGAAGAAAAGCGGAAAGAAGAGCACCACCGACAAGTTCTGCTGCCATGGTAGGAGTTTGAAAATGGTGAATGGAAGTGTGTAATTTGAAGTGGAGTTTACTAACCACAATGACTCAGTGCAGGATGCTATAATGATGCTACAATGTTGACTTTAACAACATTATTAAAGGCGCCAATGACTCAGTGCAGGATGCTATAATGACTAATTAATGCATCTTTGACACTAATTAGTGCTTTAGAGAGAGTAGCTCTTTGGAGATATTTTTCGAGAATTGTGATAAGGATTGTGTTACTATTTACTAACTAATTTTTTTCGTTTGATTTTTCAAACTTTTAAACTTTCGTTTGATTTTTTACACCACTACCACCAAGGTATTTAGTTATTAAAAAAGTTAGCTTTTCTTTATAAAAAAAGAAAAAATTAAAAGGTAAGAAAGTTATATGAAATATGTGGAAAAATTTGTTGTTACAATTTTTCCTTTTCCTACTACGTTTATCTCTAATTACATTGGTTGCTCAACTTGTGCTAAACAGATGTATTATGTTCTGTATACATGGGCCTTGGTATACTCCTCCCATGTTTTTACTTGTTCTTTTTGTTTAAATATGCAAAACGTAAATTAGGAAGCAAAATTAAAAAATCGAAATAAATTCATCAATCCAATACTCAAACACCCAAATATTTCGAAAATTGTAGTTCTTTAGATATTAGATTCCAAGTTTGAATAATTTATGGATCAATCAAATAGTTAAATATATATCAATTAAATCTCAGTGGTGAATCCTGGGTAGGTTCTAGTGGTGAAGTTATGATGTCTTTCCGAAGGGGATATTAGAGATATTAAAATCTTTACCTCAACTAATAAAAGATTTTGTTTGAGATTTGTATTTAAAAATTTAGGAAGAAGTTACTAAGGAAAAAGTTGAAGAATATCATTTAGAAGGAAAAATTAGACAAATTAAGGAAGTTAGTGGAAAGCATGTATGAAAGATAACATAATACAATTATATATTAATTCTAATTGTCATCAAAAGAAGAAAAAAAATGATAGATATGTATGGAAATGCCAACCATGGTAATTTCTTTTATCAGTAAAAAGAATTTATAAATGTGAATATGTACTTGAGGTACATCAACCCATATAAAAAAAAATTGGTGTAGAGTATAGTGTAAAGAAATTGCATATTATAAAAGATAGAAATAATATTTCATCCAAAATATTCTTTCAAATGTCAATACAAAGTAATCCAAAAGAAAGTCATTAAAAGGATTAAATATGTTTTTATCCCATTTAAATTGAAATTAGTTATTCTTTGAAACTTTGGTCAAATGTAATTCATCAATTTTAGAAATGTATAAATTTAATCTTTTTAACCAAATTTTGTAAAGTTTATTTATCATTTTAAAGATGTTTGATAATAGCATTTGAGTTTTTTAGAACGTTATTTTTACTTCAATATTATCATAGAAACGTCTTTAATGATCAACCACTTTGCAATTTATCCAACTAGAAAGGGACATGTGTCATGATCTCCATATACCAAATCCTCCAACTACGTGCTAACACATCATCATCGTCTTCAACCTTCCATCAACCACTCTCACCCGTCCCAAATCGAAACCCTAGGCAACAACCATCATTAGTCATCATGATACCATCCATCCACGAGCGACCACCAGAGTAGTGCCGATCTTCCATTTTTGAACAACCCACACATCATAGTAATCGCGTTAGTGCAAAACGTGAACGAACCACCTTGTGCTAAAATCGCACCACCACAAAAATGGGTTAAAATGAAAATATTGATATATTTAGATTTTGTGTAATTTTGGACTGTGTGAAGACAAGAGTTGAATTGGAAATTAGGCAAAATTCAATTGTTAATATTTTATTAGATATTATATAAAATCATTTATTTAATTATATATGAAATTATCAAAAAAAAAAAATACCTGCGAAATATTTTAAAAACTGATCAAAATGGAGATATTATAGTACAAATAAAAGATTTCATCAATAGTGGTTTTGTGTAGCTATCACGCAACACAAAATAAAACTTCTTTTAGTCGTTAGGTTTTTCACTTCATCCATGGAAGGCAAAGGGTTGGTTTCATTATAATTTCATTATAAATTTTAAAGTTAGATTAAAATAATGCTTTTTTTATATTTATTTATTTAATTTCTGAAATAAATAAAAAGTAATGTTTTTTACATCATAATTAATTAGCGAGATATTTTAAATTATATACATATTGATTATATGAGTATAATAACTTTTAATTTCAATTAAGAATATACTTTGATTAAAGTTAAGAAATTTTATATGATTGAGTGAGTTTTTGTTACCAATTGAGAATGTACTTTGATTAGTATTAAAAATATTAACAAGAATTAATCAAGAATGTATTTTGACTAATTAGCTTTTTACTTGATAAAGGGTTAAAAGAATAAACATAATTAAGAATAATAAAGTTTAATTAAAAATACACTTTGGTTAAATTTATTATGAATAATTTAAAAAGTTCTTACTTTTAATTGAAAATCTACTTTAATCGACAATGAAAATGCTAATAAATTAATTAAAATTTTATTTTAATTCATGTGAAATCTAAAATCAATAATAAATTAAACAATAATATAATAGATAAATGATGATGAATCTATTTTGAAAAAAATAGTAAAATTAACTTCTTTTTTGCTAAAATCGTTTTAAAGTCTTTTACTAATTTGTTATTTCATGTTATCAAATTCACGTTTATATATCAATCTTAAAAATTAATTCTAGGTTAATTTTTTACTTTTATTTTTTATTATTTGCATTGTGTTTTATAATCTTTTGTATAGGATTTTATAAGATTCAATGAATTTTATAAGATTTAATGGTTGAAAATCAACTCCTTATGTGTTTGGATAGACTAAGGGTTAACTTAACCCTATCATTTATAATGACAACTTAGCAATGAAATCAATAAGTTCATGAACAATTATGAAAGGAAACAGAGAAATGAAACATGAAGTTCAATCAAACACCCAAAATTAATATTTTGAGATGAACAGCCATTTAAAATCCATGCTGGCCACAAACTTTCACAGGACAGCACTGTTTTTGTTTTATTCTCATGCAGTGTCAGATTAAATACATTGAGAATATGATAAAATCTCCACATTTAAACCCTTTTCAAGAAAAATGAATCCCCTACTTTGAATTTCGTTAGTCAGTCTGGTATTTTGCTATCTTGTAGATGTTAACAACATTGGTGGAGTTGGCATGTTACGTGCAATAGAGGCAGCCTTCAAGAATTGAAATTGATGAAGGAAGACTCTTCTCTGGTAAGCATTTGAGGTTGGGGCATCTATGAAGTGTGAGAGAGGAGAGGTGAAAGAGACCCTTCTAATTCTGCTTTGTAATAAGTTTAAAACTTGAGAGAGTTACATGTCTTACATTATGGAGAATTAGTACCTCTAGAAGAGATGGACAAATTGGAATTTTGCACATCTAATTTTGAATTTTTGCTTCACCTTATTACCAAACCATCAGTTTTTCGATGTGAGCAATCTTTCCCCAATCTTCGCCTTCTGGATTCTTACAACGTAGTTCGAGTAATGGACAGTTCCAGATTTCAAGAGCAGAGATGGATTTGGGCAGACCCTCCTTTGGTAAGCATTGAAGGCTAGGGCACTTATGAAGTGTGAGAGAGGAGAGGTGGCAGAGACCATTGTAACTCAGCGTTTTGAGATTTGGACAATCATAGATTGCTACAGAAGCAAGAGAGGGTGGCAGCAAACCTTCATCCGGAAAACAATCCTCATCCACCTTTTCAATATACAACCTTTCAAGACATATGTTCACATCCAAGGTCTCTCTTAGGGATGTGATAAGTTTCAAACTTGAAAGAGACACATGTTTTATGTTTGATGGCAAACCTCCCCTTGGGAACATCTCTACTTGTGGACAGTCAATTATCTGCAGCGCAGTAAGAGACGGAAGTAGGATTTTCATGCGTTTTGGCAACAACTTCAAATTCTCCGCTCCTCGAATTACAATCATTTGTAGCGACGTTGCAGACAATCCTTCACTGGGAAATGATTCAAATTGAGGGCAATCGGTAATTGTCAGTTCGTTGAGATGATCATGAGCGTGCTCTTGTGAAATTCTTCGCAAGTTTTGGCACCTTCGCAATCGAAGTAAACGGAGCTTTGGAAAGAAATCTAGCGGAAAGATTGTAAGAGAGTCGCAGCCATCATCAATTGTCATTCGTTCAAGGCAATTGTAATGGGTAACGGGGATATTCACAAGTGGGCATGAACGAATACTCAAGATTTGAAGTGACTTTGTGTCCATGGTGTTTACGCTAATTATGAGCTTATCACAAGAATCAATAAATAGATTCTTTAAATGAAGAAGTCTCTCTGGCATACCTTTCAGCTTAGGACATTGATTGGTAGAAAGTTGTTGAAGACGTTGAAAAGAAGTAGTTTTACATTCCCATTCTTCCCATTCCTTCATCTGGTAGAATTCCAATCTTTCCAAGGACGTGAACGAAGAAGAGTTGCTCCCAAAAAATTCATCACCAATGCTCACTATTCCATCAAGCCCTCTAATCAGGAGGGACTTCAGAGAAGACAATAGTCCAAGGGGAGGCAAGCATAGGCAATATTTACAGTTCTCCAATTGTAAGAACACCAAATTTGATAACGAATTATCGAATACCCAATTTGGAAATTGTGTACCATAATAGCTCCTAATTGACAAATGCTCCAAGTGATTGGAAGGATGTAAATTCTCGAGAACTTCTTTTTCTTTCCTTGGATCATCGGGGATGCGATTCGAATTCCATTTTAACTCAAGTTCCACAAGGTGTTGATTTTTCAAATTTGCTTCTAATGCATCCAAAGGATTCACAATATTCTGCACCTCATTGATTGATAGCCTTCCATGAAGATTGAGTCCTCCTAGCTCCCTAATACTGACCTCACCATTTCTCTCAACACAAAATGTACTCAGTACATGAAGATTTTTCAATTCTCCAAAATGCATTGGCATCTTTGTCACGTTTGTTCTTTTAAATTCCAGGCAACACAATTTGGTGAGTTTATGCAAATTTGAGGGTAATTCCTCCATATATACACAATAGTTCAACTTCAGTATTAGCAAGTTATAGAGCAAACATATTGAATCGGGTAGCTTTTGTATATGAGTATACGAAAGGTCTATCGAATGGAGATGTTTAAGATTACAAATAGTATTAGGGACCTCTGTAAGCTCAGAACATCCATTGAAAGATAAGACGCGTAAAAACTTGAACTTGGAGAACAATTCATGTATCAAAATCTTGAACTGATTAGGGATACCACTAAAGGAAATATTACTTGTAATTGGAAGAAATGAACGCAGTCTTTTAGCATTAGTTAAATTCCCTAAACCATCAAAATATTCTAGGTCATCGAATGAAAATGAAAAATGACGGGTTGTCTTGGGTATATAGTTTCCTTTATCAAATTTCAACCTGAAACAAAAGTCTCCACAAACATATTTTGCCAAATCATTCAAAAGGTCATGCATGACAAATTGCATTTTAATGCTTGATTGAAGAAAAAAAGACCTCGTTAATAGATCATCGAAATATTGTTCACCAATCTCTTCTACATTCTCGATATGTTGAGAGTGACGGAGAAAACCTTCAGCCATCCATAACAAAATTAACTCTTTCTTGTTAAAAACATAACCTTTCGGAAATAATGCACAATAAGCAAAACACCTCTTGAGATGAGAAGGAAGGTGCTGATAACTCAATAGCAGAGCAGGGATAATTTCAAGTTCTTTAGGTAAGTTCCATATGTCACTTTCCAATACGCTTTTCCAATACGAAATGGACGATTTTGTGCGGAGAAGACATCCAATTGTTTTCAAAGCTAAGGGTAATCCTTTGCACTTCTCAACTATGCTTCTACCAATCTTCTTTTTCTCATCATTCAATTCAAGATCATCTTCTTTTAGTGCTTGTTTTTCAAAAACCTTCCAGCATTCATCCTCTTCTAATTGCTTTAGGTGATGCACTTTAGACCTCATGTTAGAAGCAACTTTCTCAGCACGTGTTGTGACAAGAATTCTACTTCCTGGAGCCCCATAGCTAAGAGGAGTTTGCACAGCTTCCCATTCTTCTCGTCTTTCATTCCAAACATCATCCAAAACAAGAAGAAATTTCTTTCCTGACAAATTTTCTTTCAGATTTTTGTGAACCATGTTTAGGTTCCCACTATCATCTTTTTTACCAGTGATTGACTCAAGAATTGTTTTCGTCACTGTCAAAACATCAAAATGATCTGAAACACAGACCCAGCCTTTGATATCAAATTTTGCATCGTCGATCTTGGGGTCATTGTACACATGCTGGGCGAGTGTGGTCTTACCCAATCCACCCATGCCCACAATGGAAAGTATGGATGGATGGTTATGATTGTCAGTTTTCGAAGTGAGCCAATTAAAGATAATTTGTTTGTCGGCATCTCTGCCATAAATAACACTTTCAACCACCAAAGAAGATGATGGCAATTTCTGTGGCACTTCAGAATAACTATACCGTTGCAGGCCAAGAGCATCCTTTTTCTTTGCAAGATATTCTAATTTTGTTATGACATCTTCCATCCAGGAGTTAACTTTCTTGTTAAATGAACGGAAAGTAGAATAGAAGAAATTGGATACCTTGTAAGTCAAGTTTTGAGGTGAAGATTCTGCTTCCACTTTGCATTTGGTGAGTTCATAGTCTATTTCATCCAAGAGATCCTCTGCATCAAAGACAGCCTCGTTGACAGCCAAAAGCCATGCTTTGACATGTGGATCTCTGAACTGCTTTTGTTCTGCATCATCAGCCAGAGAATTGACGGAGTGCAGCAAGATGTTCAAATTGCTGAGCAGCTTCTCATCAAGTTTTCTTCCAATAAAGAAGTCTAAAACTTCAGGAGAACACACCCTGTCAAACACAACCTGAAGGAAAGCAGAAATAAGAGCACCACCAACGAGTTCTGCTGCCATGGTAAGGAAAGAGAGTGAATGATTAATGGAAGTGTGATTCCACGATGATTCGGTGCAGGGATGCTATAGCTATTTAATCAAGAAGGGTGACTTTTCTTTAAGAACAGTGAACATTAATACTCAACCAATAGCTTTAAAGTCTTTCTGACATAGCAAATTTTCTGAGCCATAATGATCCGTTGCATTCACAGGTTGGGTCAGTCCTAAACCGTGATCGTGCGATTAAAAACGGATGGTTGAAATATATAGGACGAGTTTGATTGACCCATATAAATGTGATTAGTTGGATACGCATTAACCGGTTTTGATGAAATTTAAAGTGTGAGAGTAGGGAATGGTGAGTGTGGGAAATGTGTATCCGGAGGGCTGATGGTCCCAGTGAAGCAATAATTGATGAGTGTTTCTAATATTACAAACCTTCAGAGCTGTATTCCATGAATGGATTAGTAGCTGGTGTTTTTCGTTTGATTTTTCAAACTTTCATAGAGGATTAATATGTCGGTCTTCTTAATTAAGTAATAATATGAGATGTTCTATTCTCATATGTGATGGTACATAATTAAGTATTAAGGGTAAGCAGATAATTAAGGTATTGAACACGAAGATAGGAAACCCATTTGACAAAAACCCAACAAATTGTAGTCCATTTCACACGTAGGTATAGAGTTATGTTTGATTACATATAAAGCATGATCACTTCGATACTTATTCGACAATTTATCAAATAAGGTCGACGTAAAATAAGGTGGAAAAATCTGTTATGCAAATAGTCGTGTGAAGAAGGGGGAGGGTTTTATTTCTATATATCTGCTGTGCTGATTTTCAAACAAACACGTTGAACTCATACTATCTGTTTTTTTAATTGTTAGACTTTTGAAATATTTATAATTTCACTTGTATATTGTTTTCAAAATTAAAAAAAATGTTGATTTTTTTTATTCCTTGTACCTTTACCCTTCATCTAATATTTAATTAATTTATATAAATGCATTTACCATATCGACTTAAATTTTATAGTCACAGTAAAAGAGGTGAGTGTTAATATAAAGATTTCTAGAGCGGTGACTTGGAATGAAACAGGGGAGACATGATTTTCTTTCCAAAGGATCAGAATGGATTGACAATGGATACTAAATTAGATGTAATCAATGCAAATCTTCTGAAGATTGAAAAGTGATTTCTCAAATACCCGTCATGCAGGTTTTCAAACAATACTATAAAAATCATGAGGAACAGAGATCTAAGCTTAATCAGTGGAGTGGATTTATTTCATTCACATTTCATACATGGTTAGAAATCTTTTCCTTTTAATTTCACCAAGTTTTTGTTTCTTCTATAGGTATAGCATGCTGGATTATCAGTACCTGGCATAGTATTTCGTACATGGCATAGTACCTGGATAATCATGTCTTGGTTGCCTATCACAGGGTAACTCTTTGCATCTTAGAAAATGGAAATAAAAAATGTACAGAGGTATTGTGGAGAATCACCACATGTTCAAGAAGCAGACAAATGGGAATTGGTACACCTAATTTTGAATTTGTGGTTCATCTTATTACTCAATAAGCAGCAGTTCTTTAACGCGATCAATCTTGATCCAGTTTTTGTCTTCTGGATTCTGACAGTAAGAGAAGAGATTGATTTGAGCAGAGACTCCTCTGGTATTTTACAAATGGGACTTATGCACATCTAATTTTGAACTTCTACTTCATCTTATTACCAAATTGTTAGATTTTCAATGTCAGCAATCTTTCCTCAGTCTTTGTCTTCTGAATTTTGACAACGTTGTTGAAGCAATGGACAATCCTAAACATTAAGAGCGGAGATGGATTTGGGCAGACCCTTATAGTCTATCTTTTTAAGATTTGGGCAGCAAGAGATTTGTAGAGAGGTGAGGGACTGAGGGAGCAAAACTTCACCGGGAAAAGACTCCACATCCACATTTGTTATACACAACCTTTCAAGACATGTGTCGGCATTCAAGGTCTCTCTCAGAGAGGCTATGAGTTTGAAACTTGAAAGAGACACATATTTCACATTTGATGGCAAACCTCCATCTGGGAACATCTCCACTTGTGGACAGTCAATTATATGAAGGTCAGTAAGAGACGGAAGCAGGATTTGCATGTGTCTCGGCAACAACTTCAGATTCTCCGCTCCTCTAATTTCAAATGTTTGTAGCCACGGTGCAGATAATCCCATGGTGGGAAATGATTCAAATTGAGGGCACTTCTCAACTATGAGATACTTGAGATGATTATGAGTTTGCTCTTGTGAAATTCTTTCTAGGTTTCGGCACCTGGTCAGTTTAAGTGAGCAGAGCTTTGGAAACAAATCGAGCGGAAAGATTGTAAGAAAGTCACAACCTCCATTAATCTCCATTTCTTCAAGGAAGTTGTAAAGGGTAATGGGAACATTTGTTAGTGGACACGAATAAATTCTCAAGATTTTAAGAGTCGATGGATCCATGTTGTGTTCGCTAATGATAAGTATTTCACAGGAACGAATGATTAGTTTCTTTAAATGAAGAAGTTGTTCTGACAGGCCTTTCATCTTCGGACATTCATTCATAGATAGAGTTTGAAGTCGTGGAAAAGAATCAGTTTTACATTCCCATTCTTCCCATTCTTTCATGTAGTAGAATTCCAATCTTTCTAAGGACTTAAACGAAGAGGATTCGCTCCCATAGAACTCATAACCAATGCTCACAATTCCATCAAGGCCTACAATTTTTAAGGTCTTGAGAGATGACAAAAGTCCAAGGGGAGGCAAACATAAGCAATATTTACAGTCCTTCAACTGTAAGAACACCAAATTAGATAATGAATTATCGAACACCCAGTTTGGAAATTCTGTACCACCGTAGTTGTTGATTCCTAAAGTCTCCAATTGTTTGGAAGGTTGTAGATTCTCAAATACTTTCTTTTCTTTCCTTGGATCATCAAGGATGTGGTTCTTATTCCATTTGAACTTCACTGTCACAAGGTGTGTTTTATTTTTCAAATCCATTACTAATGCATCCGATGAACTCGTAATATTCTGCAACTCCTTTATTGACAGCCTTCCATGAAGATCGAGTCCTCCCAGCTGCTTAGTACTGAACTCACTATTTTTATCTACAATAAACGTATTCAGTACTTGAAGATTCTTCAATTCTCCAAAATGCATTGGCATCTTTGTCACTTTTGTTCTTTTAAATTCAAGACAACACAACTTGGCGAGTTTATGCAAATTTGAGGGCAACTCCTCTATATTTAAACAATAATTCAACTTCAGTATTAGTAAGTTAAAGAGCAAACATGTTGAGTCGGGCAGTTTTTGTATCTCAGTGCTCGAAAGATCTAACGAGCGAAGATGTTTAAGATCGCCAACTGAATCTGGGACCTCTCTAAGATCGGAGCAACAATTGAAAGATAAGACACGTAAAAACTTCATCTTGGAGCACAAATCATGTATCGAAATCTTGAATTTCCAACTATAATCAAGGTAATAACCTTTCCCAAATTTGGTTAATGGAATAAACGAACGAAGTCTCTTAGCCTCAGTTAAACTACCAAAACCATCAAAACATTTGACGTCATCAAATGCAAATGAGAAATGACGAGTTGCTTTAGGTATACATTTTCCTTTATCAAATTTCAACCTAAAACAGAAATCTGCACAAACATATTTTGCCAAATCATTCAGAAGATCGTGTATGACGAAATGCCTTTTGGACCTTGATTGTTGAAAGAAAGACCTTGACAATAGATCATTGAAATACTCTTCACCAACTTCTACTGGTTGTCTAATTTGTTGAGGGCACTGTAAAATGTTTTCTGCCATCCACAAAAAAATTAACTCTTTCTTCACAAACTCATAATCTTTGGGAAATATGGCACAATAAGCAAAACACCTTTTAAGATGAGAAGGAAGGTAGTGATAGCTCAAAAACAGTGCAGGGATAATTTCACTGTCTTCTTTTGGTAAGTCCCATATATCACTTGCCAATACACTTTTCCAATCTGAAATGGATGACTTTGTGTGCAGAAGACTTCCAATTGTTTTCAAAGCCAGAGGTAATCCTTTGCATTTCTCAACTATCCTTCTTCCAATCTCCTTTTGCTCATCGTTCAATTTAAGATCATCATCTTTCAGTGCATGTTTTATGAAAACTTTCCAGCATTCATCTTCTTGTAATTGCTTTAGACGATGCACTTCAGACCTCATGTTAGATGCAACTCTCTCAGCACGTGTTGTGACAATAACTCTACTTCCTGGAGCCCCATAGCTAAGAGGAGTTCGCACAGCTTCCCATTCTTCTCGTTTTTCATTCCAAACATCATCCAAAACAAGAAGAAATTTCCTTCCTGACAATTTTTCTTTTAGTTTTTTGTGAACCATTTCTAGGTTCCCACTATCATCTTTTTTATTATCGATTGCCTCAAGAATGGTTTTTGTGACGGTCAAAACATCAAAATGATCTGAAACACAGACCCAAACTTTGATATCAAATTTAACAGTGTCCATCTTTGGGTCATTGTAAACATGCTGGGCTAGTGTGGTCTTACCCAATCCACCCATGCCCACAATTGAAAGTATCGATGGTTGGTTATGATTTTCAGTTTCGGATGTGAGCCAATTAGAGATAATTTCTTTGTCAGCATCTCTGCCATAAATAACACTTTCAACCACCAAAGAAGTTGATGGCAATTTCCGTGAGATATTACTACAAGATCCAACACTAGAATAAGTACACTCTTTCAAACCAAGAGCGCCCTTTTGCCTTGAAAGATATTCTAATTTTTCAAGGACTTCTTTCAACCCTGAGTCAGTTTTCTTGTTAAATGAACTGAAAGTGGAATTGAAGAAGTTTGATACCTTGTAAGTGATGGATTGAGATTGAGATTGAGCTTCCACTTCACATCTGGTGAGTTCATAGTTTATTTCATCCAAGAGATCCTCTGCATCAAACACGGCCTCTTTGACAGCAAAAAGCCATGCTTTCACGTGTGGATCTC